CCGGCGGGGGCCCGTAGGGGCCATGGGCAACGCCGAGGGCCGGGCCCCGCGCCGGGCCGAGCCCCGCGGCAACCCCGGCAGCTTCGATGAGCTGCACCGGCTCTGCAAAGGTGCGCCCGCGGGGAACGGGGGCGGCGGGAGAGCGAGGGGGACAGCGGGGCTGAGGGGACAGCGGGACCGTGAGGGGACACCAGGGAGCCCCGGGGTCAGGGGACACCGGGGTGACGCTGAGGGGACAGCGGGGGTGGCAGGTGTGTCCCCTGGGGGGCTGGCCCGGGGCTGTCAGTACTGTCCCCAAAACGGGGCTGTGGGTGTCACCTGGGGGGTGACAGCCGTGTCTGGGGGTGACAGCCCTGTCCCTGTGGGGTGACAGCCGTGTTGGCGGTGACAGCCGTGTCCCCAGGGGTGACAGTCGTGTCCCTATGGGGTGACAGCCCTGTCCCTGTGGGGTGACAGCCGTGTCCCCAGGGGTGATGTCTGGGGGTGACAGCCGTGTCCCCCAGGGGTGACAGCCGTGTCCCCAGGGATGACAGCCGTGTCCCTGGGGGTGACAGCCATGTCCCTGTGGGTGATGTCTGGGGGTGACAGCCGTGTCCCTGTGGGGTGACAGCCGTGTCTGGGGGTGACAGCCATGTCCCCGTGGGGTGACAGCCGTGTCTGGGGGTGACAGCCCTGTCCCCAGGGATGACAGCCATGTCCCTGTGGGTGATGTCTGGGGGTGACAGCCGTGCCCCCAGGGGTGACAGCCGTGTTGGCGGTGACAGCCGTGTCCCCAGGGGTGACAGTCGTGTCCCTATGGGGTGACAGCCCTGTCCCTGTGGGGTGACAGCCGTGTCCCCAGGGGTGATGTCTGGGGGTGACAGCCGTGTCCCCCAGGGGTGACAGCCGTGTCCCCAGGGATGACAGCCGTGTCCCTGGGGGTGACAGCCATGTCCCTGTGGTCCCCATGGGGTGACAGCCGTGTTGGGGGTGACAGCCCTGTCCCCAGGGGTGACAGCCATGTCCCCGGGGGTGACAGCCGTGCCCAGGGGGTGACAGCCCTGTCCCCGGGGGTGACAGCCGTATCCCCGGGGGTGACAGCCCTGTCCCTGTGGGTGATGTCTGGGGGTGACAGCCGTGTCCCAGGGGGTGACAGCCGTGTCCCCGTGAGGTGACAGCCATGTCCCTGTGGGTGATGTCTGGGGGTGACAGCCGTGTCCCTGTGGGTGACAGCCGTGTCCCCAGGGGTGACAGCCGTGTCCCCGCAGAGGTGTTCCCGCCGCAGCTGGAGGGGGTGAAGCTGATCGTCACCAAGACCCTGAGCAGCCACTTCCAGGTCGGGGAGGTGACACCGGGGGACACTGGGGGGGGGTGGCCGTGCGCCTCCCCCTCCCCCCCGCTCCGTCCCCGTCCCGCGTGACCGTGCTGTCCCCGCAGGTGACACACACGGTGCACATGAGCGCCCTGGGCCCCTCGGGCTACCGCTTCAACGCCACCTTCGTGGGGGACCGCCAGCTGGGGCCCGCCGAGGTGACAGCGCGGGGGGGCTGCGGGTGGCACCGGCCTCGTCACCCTCTGCCACCCCCGGGCCACCAACGGGGCCTTGTGGCCGTCTGGGACACAAGGGTGGCCCCGGCGTGGGGGGTGGGCCTGTAGCCTGGGTGGTCTCGGGGTGGCCCTGTGGCCTTGGGGACATTGGTGGCCTTGGGGTCACCGGTGGCTTCAGGGACATTGGTGACCCCAGGGGGGTCAGTGGCCTGGGGGACATTGGTGGCCCTGGGGTGAGGGGTGGTCCCAGGTGGCCTCAGGGCCATTGGTGACCCCAGGAGGGTCAGTGGCCTGGGGGACATTGGTGGCCTTGGGGTCACTGGTGGCTTCAGGGCCATTGGTGACCCCAGGACGGTCAGTGGCCTGGGGGACATTGGTGACCTCGGGGTCACTGGTGGCTTCAGGGACATTGGTGACCCCAGGAGGGTCAGTGGCCTGGGGGACATTGGTGACCTTGGGGTCACTGGTGGCTTCAGGGGCATTGGTGACCCCAGGGGGGTCAGTGGCCTTGGGGACATTGGTGGCCCAGGGGTCACAGGTGGCCCCGGGTGGGCCCGGGTGGCCCTGGGCTCGTTGGTGGCCTCGCCATGGCCACAGTGCCACTGGCACGTCCCAGCCAGCCCCAGGCCGGAGCTGGGGACACTCGGTGGTGGCTCTGTGGCCGTCCCCGTGTCCCCCTGTCCCCGTGTCCCTGTGTCCCTATGTCGCCTTGTTTCCTCTCCCTGTCCCCATGTTGTGCTGTCCCCAGGTGTCCCCAGGTGTCCCCAGCTGTGTCCCCAGCTGTGTCCCCAGGTGTTCCCCTGTCCCCAGGTGTCCCCCGCTGTGTCCACAGGTGTCCCCAGCTGTGTTCCCAGGTGTCCCCTGTCCCTGTCCCTGTGCCCCCGTCCCCTCACCGTGCTGGCCCCAGGTGTCCCCAGGTGTCCCCTGTCCCTGTCCCTGTGCCCCCGTCCCCTCACCGTGCTGGCCCCAGGTGTCCCCAGGTGTCCCCTGTCCCTGTCCCTGTGCCCCCGTCCCCTCACCGTGCTGGCCCCAGGTGTCCCCAGGTGTCCCCTGTCCCTGTCCCTGTGCCCCCGTCCCCTCACCGTGCTGGCCCCAGGTGTCCCCAGGTGTCCCCTGTCCCTGTCCCTGTGCCCCCGTCCCCTCACCGTGCTGGCCCCAGGTGTCCCCAGGTGTCCCCTGTCCCTGTCCCTGTGCCCCCGTCCCCTCACCGTGCTGGCCCCAGGTGTCCCCAGGTGTCCCCTGTCCCTGTCCCTGTGCCCCCGTCCCCTCACCGTGCTGGCCCCAGGTGTCCCCAGGTGTCCCCTGTCCCTGTCCCTGTGCCCCCGTCCCCTCACCGTGCTGGCCCCAGGTGTCCCCAGGTGTCCCCTGTCCCTGTCCCTGTGCCCCCGTCCCCTCACCGTGCTGGCCCCAGGTGTCCCCAGGTGTCCCCTGTCCCTGTCCCTGTGCCCCCGTCCCCTCACCGTGCTGGCCCCAGGTGTCCCCAGGTGTCCCCTGTCCCTGTCCCTGTGCCCCCGTCCCCTCACCGTGCTGGCCCCAGGTGTCCCCAGGTGTCCCCTGTCCCTGTCCCTGTGCCCCCGTCCCCTCACCGTGCTGGCCCCAGGTGTCCCCAGGTGTCCCCTGTCCCTGTCCCTGTGCCCCCGTCCCCTCACCGTGCTGGCCCCAGGTGTCCCCAGGTGTCCCCTGTCCCTGTCCCTGTGCCCCCGTCCCCTCACCGTGCTGGCCCCAGGTGTCCCCAGGTGTCCCCTGTCCCTGTCCCTGTGCCCCCGTCCCCTCACCGTGCTGGCCCCAGGTGTCCCCAGGTGTCCCCTGTCCCTGTCCCTGTGCCCCCGTCCCCTCACCGTGCTGTCCCCAGGTGTTCCCCACGCTGCTCGGGGACATGGACAGCTCTGGCAGCCTCAACGCGCAGGCCGTGCAGCTGCTGGGCGAGCGCCTCCGCGCCAAGGCCGTGTTCCAGGTGAGCCGGGCGTGCCCCCGCCGCGCGCCGTGCCCCGCGCGGCCCCGCTGCCAGCGCCGCTGTCCCCGTCCCCAGACGCACCAGGCCAGGTTCGTGACGTGGCAGTTCGACGGCGAGTACCGCGGCGAGGACTGCACGGCCACGCTCACGCTGGGCAACCCCGACCTGCTGGGCGGCTCCGGTGAGTGTCCCCGAGGTGGCCTCGAGGTGGCCCTGCCGTCCCCGAGGTGGCCCGGGATGCCTGGGGACAGCTGGGATACCTGTGGATAGTTGGGGACAGCTGGGGACACCGGGGAGAGCTGGGGACAGCCGGGGGCACCGGGGAGAGCTGGGGATGCCTGGGGACGGCTGGGGACACCGGGAACAGCTGGGGACACCGGGGACACCGGGGAGAGCTGGGAATCCCTGGGGACGGCTGGGGACAGCCGGGGACAGCTGGGAATGCCTGGGGATAGCTGGAGACACCTGGGGATGCCTGGGGACAGCTGGGGACACCGGGGAGAGATGGGATAGCTAGGAATGCCTGGGGACGGCTGGGGACATTGGGGACACTGGGGACAGCTGGGGACACCTGGGGATAGCTGGGGACACCTGGGAATGTCTGGGGACAGCTGGGACAGCTGGGGATGCCTGGGAACAGCTGGGACACCTGGGGACAGCTGGGACAGCTGGGGATAGCTGGGGACACCTGGGAATGTCTGGGGACAGCTGGGACAGCTGGGGATAGCTGGGGACACCTGGGAATGTCTGGGGACAGCTGGGACAGCTGGGGATAGCTGGGGACACCTGGGAATGTCTGGGGACAGCTGGGACAGCTGGGGATAGCTGGGGACACCTGGGAATGTCTGGGGACAGCTGGGACAGCTGGGGATAGCTGGGGACACCTGGGAATGTCTGGGGACAGCTGGGACAGCTGGGGATAGCTGGGGACACCTGGGAATGTCTGGGGACAGCTGGGGACACCTGGGGGACACCTTGGGGACACCTCGGGGACACCTTGGTGACACCCGGGGGACGCCTTGGGGACACCTCGGGGACACCTTGGGGACACCTTGGGGACACCTTGGGGACACCTCGGGGACACCTTGGGGACATCTCGGGGACACCTCGGGGACACCTTGGGGACACCTCGGGGACACCAGGGGGATGCCTTGGGGACACCTCGGAGACACCTCGGGGACACCTTGGGGACACCCGGGGGACACCAGGGGGATGCCTTGGGGACACCTGGGGGACGCCTTGGGGACACCTTGGGGACCTCTCAGGGACACCTCGGGGACACCTTGGGGACACCAGGAGGATACCTTGGGGACACTTCGGGGACACCTTGGGGACACCTTGGGGACACCTGTGGACGCTGTCTCTCCGTTGCAGCCCCGAACTGGGTGACAACGCTCAACGTGGGCTACGGCGGCGCCCACGCCAGCTACTACCACCGTGCCAACGAGCAGGTGCGTGTCCCCGCTGTCCCCCAGCGTGTCCCCCAGCGTGTCCCCCAGCGTGTCCCCCAGCGTGTCCCCCAGCGTGTCCCCGGTGTCCCCGGTGTCCCCGCCGCCGTGACCGTGCTGTCGCCCGCAGGTGCAGGTGGGGGTGGAGCTGGAGGCCAACACGCGGCTGCAGGAGAGCAGCTTCGCCTTCGGCTACCAGCTCAGCCTGCCGCGGGCCAACGTCGTCTTCAGAGGTGGGCGCGGCCCCCGCGGCTCCCGCGGCCGCTGTCGCCTGCCGGTGGCGCTCAGCTGTCGCCGCGGTGTCCCCGCAGGGCTCCTGGACAGCAATTGGAGCGTGGGAGGGGTGCTGGAGAAGAAGCTGCCCCCCCTGCCCGTGACGCTGGCGCTGGGCGCCTTCCTGAACCACTGGAGGAGCCGGTTCCACTGCGGCTTCAGCGTCACCGTGGGCTGAGGGACAGGGGACAGTGGGACAGCAGGGACAGGACAGCAGGGACAGCACAGGGGACAGGACAGCAGGGACAGGACAGAGGGGACAGCAGGGACAGGACAGGGGACAGCACAGCAGGGACAGGACAGAGGGGACAGCAGGGACAGGACAGGAGACAGGACAGCAGGGACAGCGGGGACAGTGGGGACAGCAGGGACAGGACAGGGGGCTGGACAGGGGACAGGACAGGACAGGGGACAGCACGGGGGACAGCACAGCAGGGACAGGACAGCGGGGACAGGACAGCAGGGACAGCAAGGGGACAGCACAGGGGAGAGGACAGCAGGGACAGCGGGGACAGGACAGGGGACAGCAGGGACAGGACAGGGGACAGGACAGCACAGGGGACAGGACAGCAGGGACAGGACAGGGGACAGCAGGGACAGGACAGGGGACAGCAGGGACAGCGGGCAAGTGGCACCGTCCTGCTCAGGGAGCCGCCAGGCCGGAACATGCAGGTGCCACAGGGACCCGCGGGGACAACGCAGGCTGGGGACAGCGAGTGACAGCGCCACGGGAGGGCTGGGGGTCCCCGTTGTCCCCAGTGCCACCTCCCGCGGGTGGCCGCTGCCACTGGGGGTCCCCGTTGTCCCCAGCGCCGCGGCGGCCGTGCCTCAGTTTCCCTGCGCTGACGCACCCGGGAGCCCGGATAAATAAAGGAGCTTTACTCTGTGCCCGGTGGCGGCCGGGGGTGACACTTGGGGACCGGGGGGGTGACACGGGGCAGGGCGCCGCGCTCAGCTGATGATCTCGGAGAGCAGCGGCGTCATGGCCGACAGGTCCTGGATGTGCAGGATCTGCCGCGTGTTCTCCACCTTCAGCGTCTGCAGCTCCGTCAGCAGCAGCAGCAGCTTGGCGTACAGGAACCTTGGGGACACGCGGGGGGGGACATCCAGCCGGCCCTGGTGGGGGTCCCCGCGCCCCTCTGGGGGGGGCTGCCGCCCCGTGCCGGCGCTCACCTGCCCTCGGGGGGGGGATGCCGGTGCTCGATGTAGCTCTGCAGGGTCAGCGCCACCTCCTCCTGGAACCGGTCGATGACATCGCGCTGGGCGATGCCGGCGTGGTCTGCAGGGAGCGCGGGGGTGACCTCAGCGGGGCCTTGGGGACATGGGGGTGTCCCCGTGTGTCCCCCCCCCAAGCCCCCGCGGGGCGGCTCACCAGGCGAGAAGAGCAGACAGGGGACAGGACAGCAGGGACAGCGGGGACAGTGGGGACAGCAGGGACAGGACAGGGGACAGCAGGGCAGGACAGGGGACAGCACACAGGGGACAGCGGTGACAGGACAGGGGACAGCAGGGACAGCGGGCAAGTGGCACCGTCCTGCTCAGGGAGCCACCAGGCCGGGCCATGCAGGTGCCACAGGGACCCGCGGGGACAACGCAGGCTGGGGACAGCGAGTGACAGCGCCACGGGAGGGCTGGGGGTCCCCGTTGTCCCCAGTGCCACCTCCCGCGGGTGGCCGCTGCCACTGGGGGTCCCCGTTGTCCCCAGCGCCGCGGCGGCCGTGCCTCAGTTTCCCTGCGCTGACGCACCCGGGAGCCCGGATAAATAAAGGAGCTTTACTCTGTGCCCGGTGGCGGCCGGGGGTGACACTTGGGGACCGGGGGGGTGACACGGGGCAGGGCGCCGCGCTCAGCTGATGATCTCGGAGAGCAGCGGCGTCATGGCCGACAGGTCCTGGATGTGCAGGATCTGCCGCGTGTTCTCCACCTTCAGCGTCTGCAGCTCCGTCAGCAGCAGCAGCAGCTTGGCGTACAGGAACCTTGGGGACACGCGGGGGGGGACATCCAGCCGGCCCTGGTGGGGGTCCCCGCGCCCCTCTGGGGGGGGCTGCCGCCCCGTGCCGGCGCTCACCTGCCCTCGGGGGGGGGATGCCGGTGCTCGATGTAGCTCTGCAGGGTCAGCGCCACCTCCTCCTGGAACCGGTCGATGACATCGCGCTGGGCGATGCCGGCGTGGTCTGCAGGGAGCGCGGGGGTGACCTCAGCGGGGCCTTGGGGACATGGGGGTGTCCCCGTGTGTCCCCCCCCCAAGCCCCCGCGGGGCGGCTCACCAGGCGAGAAGAGCAGCATGGCCTGCAGCAGGGCGTACTCGGCCTCGTGCAGCCGCAGCCGCCGCAGGCTCTCGTGGAACTTGAGCAGCGGCTCCAGGTACACCTGCTGGAAACCGGCTGGGGGAGCCCCCGAGCCCCGCTCAGGGCGGGGGTCCCCGCCGTGTCACCGAGTGCCACCGAGTCGGGCGGCGCCGGGCTGGCCGCTCCGAGCCTCCCCGGGCAGCCCTTCCAGGGCCTTTTCCCTTTTCCAGGAGGAATTCCCCCAAATTTCCCACCCTGAGCCTCCCCGGGCAGCCCTTCCAGGGCCTTTTCCCTTTTTCGGGAGGAATTTCCCACCCTGAGCCTCCCCGGGCAGCCCTTCCAGGGCCTTTTCCCTTTTCCAGGAGGAATTCCCCCAAATTTCCCACCCTGAGCCTCCCTGGCACGGCTCTAGGCTCTGTCCCCTTGTCCTGCCCCATTCCCTGGGATCACATCCCAAACCCCACCTGGCAGATCCCAAACCCCCCCTGACAGGTCCCAAATCCCCCCCAGGAGATCCCAAATCCCCCCTGGAGATACCAAATCCCCCAGGCAGATCCCAAATCCTCCAGGCAGATCCCAAATCCCCCTGGCAGATCCCAAATCCCCCCTGGAGATCCCAAATCCCCCTGACAGATCCCAAATCCCCCAGCAGATCCCAACCCCCCCGGCTCCCCCTTTCCTCCAGGCTGAGCCCCCCCAGCTCCCTCAGGACTTTCCGGACCCTTCCCCGGCCCCTCACGGTCCGTCCTCACCCGAGTGACCGCAGCTGGACACGGCCTCCAGGTGACAACGCCAGCCTGCCACGCTGTCCCTGAGCCGGCCCAGGTGCCACCCTGCCCAGCCGCTGTCCCTCGGGTCCCTCTGTGCCCAGGCGATGTCCCCACCCCGGGGACAGCGCAGAGCCCTTCACCCTGTCCCCCTCCTGTCCTCGGGCTGTCCCCGCGGATCCCGCCTGCCCAGCACGTGTCCCCGGTGTCCCCGGTGTCCCTGGTGTCCCCGGTGTCCCAGTGTACCCGGTGTCCCCAGTGTCCCCGGTGTCCCCCCTCCTGTCCTCGGGCTGTCCCCGCGGATCCCGCCTGCCCAGCACGTGTCCCCGGTGTCCCGGTTGTCCCCAGTGTCCCTGGTGTCCCCAGTGTCCCCAGTGTCCCTGTTGTCCCCGGTGTCCCGGTGTCCCCGGTGTCCCCAGTGTCCCTGTTGTCCCCGGTGTTCCCAGTGTCCCGGTTGTCCCCGGTGTCCCCAGTGTCCCGGGTGTCCCTGGTGTCCCCAGTGTCCCGGGTGTCCCCAGTGTCCCCGGTGTCCCCGGTGTCCCGGGTGTCCCAGTGTCCCAGTTGTCCCTGGTGTTCCCAGTGTCCCGGTTGTCCCTGGTGTCCCCAGTGTCCCGGGTGTCCCAGTGTCCCCAGTGTCCCGGTGTCCCGGGTGTCCCAGTGTCCCTAGTGTCCCGGGTGTCCCCGGTGTCCCGGTGTCCTGGGTGTCCTGGTTGTCCCCGGTGTCCCAGTGTCCCGGGTGTCCCGGGTGTCCCCGGTGTCCCGGTGTCCCGGGTGTCCCCAGTGTCCCCGGTGTCCCGGGTGTCCCCAGGTGTCCCGGGTGTCCCGGTTGTCCCCGGTGTCCCAATTGTCCCCGGTGTCCCCGGTGTCCCGGGTGTCCCCAGCTGTCCCCGGTGTCCCAGTTGTCCCCGGTGTCCCCGGTGTCCCTGGTTGTCCCTGGTGTCCCCGGTGTCCCGGTTGTCCCCGGTGTCCCCATTGTCCCCGGTGTCCCCGGTGTCCCGGGTGTCCCCAGCTGTCCCCGGTGTCCCAGTTGTCCCCGGTGTCCCCGGTGTCCCTGGTTGTCCCTGGTGTCCCCGGTGTCCCGGTTGTCCCCGGTGTCCCCCGTGTCCCCGGTGTCCCAGTGTCCCCTTTGTCCCGGTGTCCCGGTTGTCCCCGGTGTCCCAATTGTCCTGGGTGTCCCGGGTGTCCCGGGTGTCCCCTTTGTCCCAGTGTCCCGGTTGTCCCCGGTGTTCCCGGATGTCCCCGGTGTCCCGGTGTCCCCGGTGTCCCCAGTGTCCCTGTTGTCCCCGGTGTTCCCAGTGTCCCGGTTGTCCCCGGTGTCCCCAGTGTCCCGGGTGTCCCTGGTGTCCCCAGTGTCCCGGGTGTCCCCAGTGTCCCCGGTGTCCCCGGTGTCCCGGGTGTCCCAGTGTCCCAGTTGTCCCTGGTGTTCCCAGTGTCCCGGTTGTCCCTGGTGTCCCCAGTGTCCCGGGTGTCCCAGTGTCCCCAGTGTCCCGGTGTCCCGGGTGTCCCAGTGTCCCTAGTGTCCCGGGTGTCCCCGGTGTCCCGGTGTCCTGGGTGTCCTGGTTGTCCCCGGTGTCCCAGTGTCCCGGGTGTCCCGGGTGTCCCCGGTGTCCCGGTGTCCCCGGTGTCCCCGCGGTACCCAGGGCCCCGTCGTGGATGGTGTAGCAGCGCTGGCCGCACTCCCAGGCTGTCCCAGTGTCCCGGTTGTCCCCGGTGTTCCCGGATGTCCCCGGTGTCCCGGTGTCCCCGGTGTCCCGGTTGTCCCCGGGTGTCCCGGGTGTCCCAATTGTCCCCGGTGTCCCTGGTGTCCCAGTGTCCCGGGTGTCCCAATTGTCCCCGGTGTCCCAATTGTCCCGGGTGTCCCGGGTGTCCCCGGTGTCCCGGTGTCCCCGGTGTCCCCGCGGTACCCAGGGCCCCGTCGTGGATGGTGTAGCAGCGCTGGCCGCACTCCCAGGCCTTGGTGGCGGGGTTGAAGATGGTGTTGTAGCGGATCTGGCAGATCCCCAGCGTGGCTCCTTTCAGCAGCGAGATCTGCGCCTCCAGCGGCAAACTCCTGCCGGGAGGGGACACGGCGGCGACACGGCGACACGTCAGGGGGGTGGCGCTGAGCGCCGCCCCGCCGCGGCCCCGCCCCGCGCACCTGAACACCGGGATCTCCTTGGCGAATTTGATCACCTGCTGGATCATGAACGTGCTCAGGTCCGCGAACTGCGGCAGCAGCGACAGCACGTCCGGCAGCGCCTCCTCGCACGGCGACAGCGACACCCCCGCGGCGACACCCGCGCCCGGGGGGCTGGGCGCCAGCAGGCGCACGGCGGGCTGGGGACAGCGAGGGGACAGGGCTGGGGACACGCGGGGACAGGCGGGGTGGCTCTGGGGGCGGGTGGGGGAATCGTGGGGACGGGCTGGGGGCACATGGGGACAGTAAGGACATCTTTGGGGACATCCAGGACATCTTTGGGGACAGTCTGGACATCTTTTGGGACAGTGTGGGCATCGTGGAGACAGTCTGGGTACACGTGGGGACATCCAGGACATCTTTGGGGACAGTCTGGACGCCTTTGGAGACAGTCTGGGTACACGTGGGGACAGTCAGGACACTTTTGGGGACAGTCAGGACATCTTTGGGGACAGTGTGGGCATCTTTGGGGACAGTGTGGGCATCGTGGAGACAGTCTGGGTACACGTGGGGACATCCAGGACATCTTTGGGGACAGTCTGGGTACACGTGGGGACAGTCTGGACATCTTTGGGGACAGTGTGGGTACACGTGGGGACAGTCAGGACATCTTTTGGGACAGTCTAGGTACATGTGGGGACAGTCAGGACACTTTTGGGGACAGTCTGGGTACACGTGGGGACATCCAGGACATCTTTGGGGACAGTCTGGACATCTTTGGGGACAGTCTGGGTACACGAGGGGACAGTCAGGACACTTTTGGGGACAGCTGGGGCACCCATAGGAACAATCGTGTCCCTGGGGGGGACAGGCTGGGTCACTCAAGGGGACAATCGAGGCACCCATGGGGGCACTCAGGCCACCCATGGGGCCATCTGTGTCACTCGTGGGGACACTCAGGACACCAGGGAGGTTGGCTGGTCACCTTTGGGGACAGCCAGGCCATCTGTGGGGACAGCCAGGACACACACAGAGGGGTGCCCAGGGCGCCCATGGGCAGGGCTGGGACCGCCGTGGGGACAGCGGGGGCAGCCGCAGGGACAGGGGTGACCCCGCTGGGGACAGGGGTGACCCCGCTGGGGACAGGGGTGACCCCGCTGGGGACAGGGGTGTCGCCGTTGGGGACAGGCGTGTCCCCAGCTCACCCAGCAGTGCATGAACTGCGAGAAGCTGGAGTCGAAGGTGCGCTGGTGGGCGCCGATGAGGAGCGCGATCAGCTCCTGCTGCTCGGCCGTCAGTCCCTCCTGTCCCCGCTGTCCCCCGGGCTGTCCCCGCTGTCCCCCGGGCTGTCCCCGCTGTCCCCGCAGCTCCCGCCGCCGCCTCAGCGCCTCCTCGGACATGATCACTGCCACCCCGGCCCCGTGTCACCGCTGTCACCGCCGTCACAGGCGGGCACAGCGGGGACAGCGATCGGGGACACCCCGGCGGGTCCCCGCTGTCCCCTCTGTGCCACACTCCCTGCTGCCACCTCTGTCCCCTCCCCTGCCACCCCGCCCAGGCCGCTTCTCCCTGTCCCTTGTGCCCTGCGTGTCCCCTTCACCCCGCCCGTGTCCCCCGTCCCTGTCCCCGCTGTCCCCTGTGTCCCCCGTGCCCTCCCCCGCCACGTCCCCCTTGTCCCCTGCGGGTCCTCCCTCTCTGCTGTGCCCCGTGTCCCCCCGGCTGTCCCCCGTGTCCCCCGTGTCACTCACTGTCCCTCCTCATGCCCACGTCGAGGCACTTCTGGAGGCGACACGCCTGGCACTGTCGCCGCTTGGCCTTGGTGACAGGGCAGCGCCGCGCCAGGGGACACGTGAAGCGGACACCTTTGATGATGGAGCGCCTGCGGGGACACGGGGACCGCCCCCGCGGGCTGGGGACACGGGGACAGCCACCGCGGGCTGGGGACACTGCCACCGCGGGGTGGGGGCACGGGCAGTGCCACCGCCACCCCGTGTCCCCATGTTGGTGCCAGCGGCTGTCCCCTCTTGTCGCACGCTGCCCCCGTCCATGGGACCGTCCTGTGCCACCCCCTCCCCCCCACGCCAGTCCCTCCTGTCCCATCCTGTCCCCACATCCCATCTTGTCCCCTCGCCCTGTCCCCTTGTCCCATCCCGCCCTGTCCCCGCAGTGTCCCCACAGTATCCCCGGCTGTCCCCGCAGTGTCCCCGCAGTGTCCCCAGCTGTCCCCGGCTGTCCCCACGCTGTTCCCTCAGTGTCCCCGCAGTATCCCCGGCTGTCCCCGCGGTGTCCCCTCAGGGTCCCCGGCTGTCCCCGCAGTGTCCCCGCAGTGTCCCCAGCTGTCCCCGGCTGTCCCCACGCTGTTCCCTCAGTGTCCCCGCAGTATCCCCGGCTGTCCCCGCGGTGTCCCCTCAGGGTCCCCGGCTGTCCCCGCAGTGTCCCCGCAGTGTCCCCAGCTGTCCCCGGCTGTCCCCACGCTGTTCCCTCAGTGTCCCCGCAGTATCCCCGGCTGTCCCCGCGGTGTCCCCTCAGGGTCCCCGGCTGTCCCCGCAGTGTCCCCGCAGTGTCCCCAGCTGTCCCCGGCTGTCCCCACGCTGTTCCCTCAGTGTCCCCGCAGTATCCCCGGCTGTCCCCGCGGTGTCCCCTCAGGGTCCCCAGCTGTCCCCGCAGTATCCCCGGCTGTCCCCACGCTGTCCCCGCGGTGTCCCCTCAGGGTCCCCAGCTGTCCCCGCGCTGTCCCCGCAGTGTCCCCGGCTGTCCCCGGCTGTCCCCGGCTGTCCCCACCTGAAGAAGCCCTTGCAGCCCTCGCAGCTCATGACGTGGAAGTGGTACCCGTTGGCCCTGTCCCCGCACACGGCGCACACTTTGTCCCCGTCGGGCTCCGTGTCCCCAGGGGGGTCCCGGGGGCTTCGCTCCGTGCCGGGGGGGCTCGGCAGGGACACGGCTGGGGACACGGCGACAGCGGGGGTGACACACAGCCGCCACCGCCACCCGTCCCGTCCCCTCGAGGCCACGGTGTCGCCCTGTCCCGCGGCGCTGTCACCCGCGCCAAGCCGCCCGTCCCCGCGGTGTCCCCGCCACCCGCGGTGCCACCACCCGCGTGTCCCCGCCAGTCCCGGTAGGTCCCCTCCTGTCCCCGCGTGTCCCCGAGGGGGACAAAGTGACCCCGCTGGTCCCTGAATGTCCCCGCTGGTCCTCGCGTGTCCCGCCAGCCCTCGTGTGTCCCCTCCTGTCCCTGTGTGTCCCCTCCGGTCCCCGCGTGTCCCCCAGGGGGACAAAGTGACCCCGCTGGTCCCTGAATGTCCCCGCTGGTCCTCGCGTGTCCCGCCAGCCCTCGTGTGTCCCCTCCTGTCCCCGCGTGTCCCCTCCTGTCCCTGAGTGTCCCCTCCGGTCCCCGCGTGTCCCCTCCGGTCCCCGCGTGTCCCCTCCTGTCCCTGAGTGTCCCCTCCGGTCCCCGTGTGTCCCCTCCGGTCCCCGCGTGTCCCCTCCTGTCCCTGAGTGTCCCCTCCGGTCCCCGCGTGTCCCCTCCGGTCCCCTGCGGTCCCCGCGGGTCCCCGTGGCTGGCGGTACCTGAGCCGCTGTCCCCCGGTGCTGTCGGTGAGGGGACATCGGGTCCCCGAGTGTCCCCGGCTGTCCCCGCGTGTCGCTGGCGGTCTCCGTGCGTCCCCTCCATTCCCTGTGTGTCCCCTGCTGTCCCCTGTGTGTCCCCTCCCGGGTGTCCCCGCGTGTCGCCGGCGGTCCCAGGAAGGGCCGCGTGGAGTTTGAACCTTGAACTTGGGGCTGCGACAGGCGGGGACAGAGCGCGGGGCGGAGGGGACACAGGGGACAGGTGGCACCTGGGGTGGCACCTGGGGCGGGACGAGGTGACAGCGGGGACACAGGGGGACAGCCAGGCACGGAGGGGACAGCCAGGATGTCTGGGGGTGGCACCGCGTGTCACACGCTGCCAGCAGCAGAGCCCAGAGGGGACACGGTGGTGGCCGTCCTGCCACCGCTGTCCCCACAGGAATGTCACTGTCGCCATCCCGGGACCCCCGCGCAGTGCCCTGTCCCCAAATGTCACCGCCACCAGGAGGGTGGCACTCGGGGGGCTCACGGTCACCCCGGTGCCCCCACACTCCCCTGTGTCCCCTCGTGTCCCCTGTCCTACCCCTCCATGTCCCCCGTGTCCGTCGTGTCCCCCTTGTCCCCCCTGTCCCCCCATGTCCCCAATGTCCCCAGTGTCCCCCAGGTCCTCAAATCCCCAATGCCCCCAATGTCCCCAATGTCCCCCCCTTGTCCCCATGTCCCTAGTGTCCCCCCCATGTCCCCAGTGTCCCCACGTGTCCGTCGCTCCTGGAGCGGGGGGGGGAAAGCCACGCTTGTGGGCGTGTCCCTTATCGGTCCCGCCCCCGCTCCCCATTGGCTGCTCGCGGCTGTCACTCAAACCCCCGCCCCTATAAGAGCGGCGGCGGCAGCGCCGGTCACGCACTCGGCAGCGGCGGCAGCGGGCGGGATGAGCGAGGTGGGGACAGCGGGGACACCGGGGACACCGGGGGACAGCGGGGACAGCGGGGACACCGGGGACACCGGGGGACAGCGGGGACACCGGGGGACAGCGGGGACACCAGGGGACACCGGGGGGCACCGGAACACACCCGAAAGGGGGGTGTGCCCCTTGTCCCGTGGCTTTCAGCACCGGGGAGGGGGCGCTGCGGGGACCCCGGGGACAGTTTGGGGACACCGGACCACCGGTGTCACCTCCCCTGTCCCCCCCGGGCCCTCCTCTCTTCTCAGCGCAGCCCCCGTGAGCCCCACGCTGGCTGGAGGTTGTGGGGACCCCCGGGGACAATGGGGGGTCCTGGGGACAATGGGGGGGCCTTGGGGACAATGGGGGGGCCTTGGGGACAGCGGAGCCCCTGTGTCACCCCCCGGGTCCCCTCTCTCCGCAGCGCAGCCCCCATGCCCCCCCCTCCGCGGCGGAGGCCCCCGGTGGGCAGCAGCAAGGTGAGGACCCCCGCTGTCCCCAGGGTCCCCTCATTGTCCCTTGCCGGGGGTGGCACCTGGGTGCGTTTGGGGACATGCTCTGTCCTTCCCCTGTCCCCTCGGAGGCGTCGCGGTGTCCCCCTGGGAGGGGTCGTGGTGTCCCGTGTCCCCAAGGGGGGGGCAGGGTGTCCCCCTGGGTGTCCCAATGATCAATCCAGGGGTGCCGGGCTGTCCCGTGTCCCCAAGGGGGTGGCAGGGTGTCCCCCTGGGTGCCAGGCTGTCCTGTGTCCCCAAGGTTGGCGGCAGGGTGTCCCCCTTAGTGTCCCCAGAGTGAGTCTGGGAGTGCCCGGCTGTCCCGTGTCCCCAAGGGGGTGGCAGGGTGTCCCCGTTAGTGTCCCCATGATCAATCCGGGGGCTCCAGGCTGTCCCTTGTCCCCAAGGTTGGTGGCAGGGTGTCCCCCTGAGTGTCCCCAGAGTGAGTATGGGAGTGCCAGGCTGTCCCGTGTCCCCAAGGTTGGCGGCAGGGTGTCCCCCTTAGTGTCCCCATGATCAATCCAGGGGTGCCGAGCTGTCCCTTGTCCCCAGGGGAGTGGCAGGGTGTCCCCCTGGGTGTCCCCATGATCAATCCAGGGGTGCCGGGCTGTCCCGTGTCCCCAAGGGGGTGGCAGGGTGTCCCCCTAAGTGTCCCCAAGATCAATCCAGGGGTGCCGGGCTGTCCCTTGTCCCCAAGGGGGTGGCAGGGTGTTCCCCTGGGTGTCCCATTGGGTGCCAGGCTGTCCTGTGTCCCCAGGGTTGGTGGCAGGGTGTCCCCGTTAGTGTCCCCCTGGGTGTCCCCCTGGGTGTCCCCATGATCAGTCCAGGGGTGCCGAGCTGTCCCTTGTCCCCAGGGGGGTGGCAGGGTGTCCCCCTGGGTGTCCCATTGGGTGCCGGGCTGTCCCGTGTCCCCAAGGGGGTGGCAGGGTGTCCCCCTAAGTGTCCCCAAGATCAATCCAGGGGTGCCGGGCTGTCCCTTGTCCCCAAGGGGGTGGCAGGGTGTTCCCCTGGGTGTCCCATTGGGTGCCAGGCTGTCCTGTGTCCCCAGGGTTGGTGGCAGGGTGTCCCCGTTAGTGTCCCCCTGGGTGTCCCCCTGGGTGTCCCCATGATCAGTCCAGGGGTGCCGAGCTGTCCCTTGTCCCCAGGGGGGTGGCAGGGTGTCCCCCTGGGTGTCCCATTGGGTGCCGGGCTGTCCCGTGTCCCCAAGGTTGGTGGCAGGGTGTACCCCTGGGTGTCCCCCTCCCCCCCCGGCAGCCAAGGCTGACCCCAAGAAGGAGGAAGAGGAGGAGGAGGAGGAGGAGATCGACATCGACCTGAGCGCGCCCGAGACGGAGCGCGCCGCTCTCGCCATCCAGGGCCGCTTCCGCCGCTCCCGGCAGCGCAAGGAGCCGCCGCGGCCCTGAGGGGTCCCGCGACCCCCGACCCCCGTGGGGACCCCCGCGAGCAGCTCCGGGGGGGGGCTCGGCCCTTCCCTGCCCCGAGCCGGGACCGCGAGTGACGCTGGGGGGGGTCTGGGGGGGACACAGCCGGCAGGGGAGGTGGCCCTCGGGAGAGGGGGCGGCGGGGACCCCCCTGGGACCCCCCCGGTTTTCCTGAGGCCCCCCCCTTTTCCATGGAACCCCCCGTTTTCCCGAGACCCCCCCGTTTTCCATGAGAATCCCCCATTTCCCTGTCCCGTGGTGGCGTTGGGGACACGCCGGGGGGGGGACACGCCGATGTCCCCCGGGTCGGGGGGCGACGGGTCCCGCTGCAGCCCCCAGCCCAGAAAATCGGGGCTCCTGTCACTGTCACCGCCCCCTCCCCACCTTTCTGTCACTGTCACCGTCCCCTCCTGTCACTGTCACTGTCCCCTGTCCCCCCCCCCACCCCGAGGGGCTTTTGCCCCCCCCGCAAAGAATAAAGTGTGAGGAAGAGGAGGCTGCGCGGGGGCTTCGGGGGAATTTGGGGAGGGGTCCCCACTGGGAGGGACCCCCGGGTCTCCCTTCTTTGGTGGGACCCCTAAATCAGCGGGGGGTCCCTGGGCTGTCCCTCCTGGGGGGGACAGGGGTGACCCCAGGTGTGTGTGGGGGGGGGTCTCCCCTCTGGGATTTGAGGAATTTCCAGGGAAATTCCCGGGATTTTCTCACCCGCTGCGGCCCCAAAAGGGTTTGGGGGGGTTAAATCAGGGAGATTTGGGGGGTTCGCAGCCGGATTTTGGGGGGATTTACAGCCGGATTTTGGGGGGATTCACAGCCGAATTTTGGGGCGGCTCGCAGCCGGATTTGAGGGCTTGACAGGAGGATTTCGGGGGGATTCGCAGCCAGATTTGGGGGCGCCCGCAGCCGGGTTTTCAGTGTTCACAGCCCGGTTTTCGGAGGGGGTTTGCAGCCGGATTTTGGGGGGTCCACAACCGGGTTTTGGGGGTTCGCAGCCTAATTTTGGGGGGAGTTTGCAGGCGGATTTAGAAGGGGTTCATAGCCCGGTTTTCGGGGGAGGTTTGCAGCCGGGTTTTGGGTGTTCACAGCCTAATTTTGGAGGGGGTTCGCAGCCGGGTTTGGGGGGTTCGCAGCCGGTTTTGGGGGGCTCAGGGGGGTTCGAGGGGCGCGGGAATGCCGCGGTCCGGTGCAGAAATAGCTCCTTGGAAAGAAAAACAGCGGCAGGGCCCAGGGGACGCGGCGGGGCCGGGCTGCGCAGACTTATTAGGGAAAGGACAACGGCACCGGGGGGGCTCCGGGGGGGCTCCGGGGGGGCTCCGGCCCGGTTCCCGCGCTGCTCCGTGCCCCAAGTGCCCCCCCAGACCCGGGGCTGGGGTCTTTTCCCCCCCCCTCCCTCCACTCCCAGCCTGGGGGGACAATGGCCCCTGGGTTAATTACAGCGAGCTTTAATTAGCGGCGGGGAGGTGGCACTAAGGTGGTGGCATCGGGGACAGCCCCCCCTGGTTGAGAGGGGACTCTGGGGTGCCACCAGGTCACCGCCCAAGTGTCACCTCCCCGCTGAGGTGGGGATGAGCTCAGACACCCCCGGCCCCGGAGGGGGACAGTGACAGTGACAGTGACAGTGACAGTGCGACAGGGGAGGGGACACGGGGCTCCCGGAGATGTCAGTTTTATTAATGGCACCACGGGGACAGGGAGGGGACAGGGACAGGGACAGGGGGTACAAAACGCGTCCGGGGGCACGGGCGGCTCCCCCAGCCCGGCCGCAGCCTCGCCCCCTCCTCGGGGCTCCGGCCGGTT